AATAAGATTCCTAACCTTATCGGTTATTACAAAAAAGAAAAATAAAAAAAATCATAACTTTGTAATTTAAATAACTAATTTTCATCCAACTACAAAATCAAGAAAATAAACATTTACATATTAAAAATTAGTTCCAACTGAAAAAAATTACAAAATATTGTAAAAAGAAAGTAAATTAGGGTTTAATGTGAATGCCGTTTGTACATCTACAACCCTAGATATTATTACCATATGCATTCTTATTCATTTCCTATAAATATAGGGCTTTGGTTCTCATTATAATACACACAAGTTTATTGATTTCTTTTATTTTGTTCTATTTTTTTTTTATAATACGTTATCAGCTCGAAAACTTATTTTTTCAAAGTTTTGCAAATGTAATAATTTTTTTTCCCCGAGCATAATCAACTTTCACGTGTACCAAAATTAATTTGATAACACATGAATTCTTTATATATATATATATATGCATCAATTTACATGAAGCTGCTTTATGGTTTCAAGCATATTTTTCACGTCTCACGTCTCAATCATATTAAAACATTATACTGTGGAAATAAAATATATTGTTTTCCTTTTCAATTCATGTATGTGCACCATCTTTTCCAATTCTTTTCTTTGTACATATTTCGCTCCCATAATGGTTCTACCACAATTGATTTCTCTGCCAACACGTTATCAGTGTTTTGATTCCCGCAACAATCAATATGAGCAAGATGTTAAAAAAATCATTCATTTGCAAAGAGTTGCAAATCAATTACCAGATACATTTGTTGACACAAGAAAAGTGACAAAGTTACATATACCAACAGAAAATATTTCAGCAAAAATTGATGTCCCTATGCAACAATTTGTTATAACAAATGAATCTCAAATACACCAGAAGTGTAGTCGACCAGTTGGTTCCAAAGACTCTGTACCTCGAAAAAGAAAAGTACAAGAGAAAAACTAACCAAAAACTTCAAAAGAAGTAACATTAGAGAAAATTGATCAATCAAGTATTGAAAATATGGTTCCTGAAGAATTACAAGTGTCCAAAAATAATGAAATTTCAATAAATTATATGTTATCTCATAAATGAGGATCCTANATTATAAATATTCATCTTTGCAACTAGTATTTGGTCATGAACCTAATATTGGAATGAAGCAACCAACCAAAAAGTTCAAAAGAAATAACATTAGAAAAGATTGATCAATCAAATATTGAAAATATGGTTCTTGAAAAATCACAAATGTCCGAAAATAATGAGATTTTAATAAATTATATGTTATCTCATAAATTATGGAAGCAGACTAATGTTGTTATAAACAATATTTTCGAATTTAACGTGGCTCTTGATATTATGCAAAATGAGGATCATGAACCACTGTTTATTAAAGACTGTTAAAATAGAAATGATTGGCCAAAATGGAAAGAAGTCATACGGGCGAAAATGAATTCCTTGGAGAAACGTAAAGTGTTTGGATCTGTAGTGCGAACACCTGAAAATATAATTCATGTTGGATACAAATGAGTTTTTGTACGAAAGATAAATGAAAATAATGAAATTACAACATACAAGGCCCGACTCGTAGCTCAAGGTTTCTCACAAAGACCAGAAATTGATTATGAGACAACATATTCTCCCGTAATGGACACCATCACCTTTAGATTCTTAATTAGTTTGACTGTGTCACAAAAGCTCGAGATGCGCCTTATGGATGTGGTAACTGCCTATTTGTATGGTTCACTTGATAGTGACATATATATATGAAAGT